GACCGATCAGACGCTAGGTGATGGATGACACATAGGTGCTTTTGCCGAGCGTGAACGCGCCGCATGCCCTCCTCACTGTTCGAGCTCGTACTCATCAGCCACCCCACATATGGTGAGCCCACCACTGCAGGCTTATTGCCTACCTGCATCGGCATCCTAGTGTATAATAGCAAGGTGATCCATCCGTGCATTAATCGCACACATTGCTTCTCGCACCTGCCTCGATCTTTGTCTCCGGGCTTGGCTGGCCTTTACGGTTTACCATATTTCCACAGGAGAACTATTCACGCCCAATCCTGTATTTTCTGTATGGTTGGCATGCTATTTCTGCCACTCTGAAATGTATACCTATTTCCTTGGGTATGATAGCTTCTGGCTCTTTCGGTCTTTCGTCGTCGGCAAATTCTTGCCACCTTCAAGCACGAGTTATTCAAGTCGTAGCACTTTCAATCATATCATAAGCTCTGAAACAGATGACTACTAGGTCTCGTATGCAAAGGTACAGTATGCAGGTCTAATCAGCCATACATAAAGCTTGAAGGAAAAGTGCATGATCAATGAAGCATGTAAAGACGAGACGGCGACCATCAGTTGGATAGGTAGCATAGTGTGCGAGACGGTTTGAGAGGAAGGCTATAGCGTCACATCAGGAAAAGGCCTCCCTGCTTACCTGGCCTCACACTCATCTAACGGCCTGCTAACGGCGAAAGTCGCTCACAGGCACTCAGCGCCACTCGTCACGCCTCAATCCCTCTTCAAGCTCACCACGACCTCATAGCCAGGTCAAGCTGCCTACTATCCCATCAGCCTCAGCACATTTCTTTGTTAGCATTGTAATTACCGTGCTGTCACAGTGCTGTTCGCGATGTCGTTAGTGTAGTGATGAATCCAATATATTGCATTGAGATGATACTGTACATGAAGAGCAGCAGAGTGACAGATAGTATAAAGTACAAGTCGGACGGGTAGTAGTAGTAGTATCGGATGATGGGGACGGTCACGGAAGCGCGAGGACAGTGGACTAGCGGCTGGCACCGACTCGCGACAGGTGGGACTCGGCTGGGAGGGGCAGATGGTGGTAGTAGTCGTCGGTGGTGACGATGCTGACGGCGGCGAGTGTTACTATCATGAATGTGACCTGGTTGGGTGTCAGTTCAGGTACCATCTCGTTCGCCGCTGAAAGTAGACGCACCATGAAAATCATGCCGCCGCCGCCGCCTTCGCCTGCTCTGCCTCCGCCTGCTGCTGCCGCACCACCTCAGCCAATCTCTCTCGACATTCACGACATCTGCCAGGAAATTCACCCTGCGGCAAGTTCATGAACGGGATAGGCATTTGCTTGCACATGAGCAATGTCAGCGCGAGGCGCAGGTGGAGGTGATCCTCCAGCGATGCCATCTCCTCCAACATCAACTTGGCCGGCTCGACTTGGGAAAGCACGCTGCCAGTCGCCCATCGAGCCCAACTCTCCCGCTCTGAGTCCACCTTGCCCATGTACTCATCCAATTGTTCGCGATGCTTCACATGGGCAAGGAGGCTGGCCAGCATTCTGAGCCACTGATTCTTGAACTCTCGAGACTGGAGATCGTGGTTCCAATACGTGACGAGCCAGCCGTACGCGTCAAGCTCCTCGCTCAATAGCACGAGCTGCCTGATGATCACCAAGGGGTTTTGCAACTGTTGATGCTCGCGCTCGACGCTGAAAAAGTCCGCGGTGTGATGAGTGCCTCCCTCGTCCGACAACTCCTTGATACCGGCGTCCTGCATGAGCTTATCGCTCGTGATGTTGCACAACCTGTGAAGCTGGTGCCACAAGATGAACATGTGACATACGAACGCGATGAGCTGCTTGTCTCCCTTGACACGCTCGAGAGTCGCTTCACACCCGCACGCCAGCCTGCCCCACGGCGGGCGATGTCCCGGGATCCGCATACTATCGAAGGCCTTGCCCAGTAGTGGTGGAAGCCCGCCAATCCTCCCACCCCCCTCCGCCCAGAACGCCTCCTCCATAATGAGGTTGTTGCCGAATTTTTTCCACGATCGCGTACCCAGACGCTTTATATCCGGGTCATCGCGCGCGAGGCTGACGCGCGCGAGGAGGAGTGGAAGCGTCCGCACAAAATTGACGACAAGTCACGCTTGCCGATCGTCGTTGGCGTTGGCGATGATGTGGATGGGCGGGAGGTAGGTGTATAGCGGGTCCTTCTTCTCGTTCTTCTTCTGCAACTCCCTGTCCCTCTCCTTCCTCTCTTCCTCTGTCAACTTCGACGGCCCCTTTCCCCTTCCCTTCCCCCCCCCTCCTCCTCCCCTTCACCAGACCGGACTCAACCATCACCTCCTCCCTGCTATAACCTGAAGCGAATTGTGCTTGCGCCTGCTCGTCTTCGAACGCGAGTTGCACGTGATCAAGCATGTTCGCGAGCGCAAGCGCACACGATGAGGTAGGCTGAGGAAGCCAGAGGTGATTCTTCTCCTGCGAGTCGTAGAACCGCCGAAGGGCCGACGATTGGCTGGAAAACCATTCGTACCTCGTCCGCGAAGTGCCAATGGACTTGTGCCTCGAGCGAAAAGTGTCATCGAGGCGCTCTAGTCGCTGTTCGCAGTCCACCTTGAGGCGCTTGCTATCTAGTAGATTGAAGGGATGAGTTCGGATTGTCAGCATGTGGCGCCGGAATCACGTACGCTGGTCGGCGATCGATGCCTTGCGCTTCCCCCCGACAGGCTCGTCGGAGGCACTGAAGTCGTCCTGCGTGCGCGGCATGTAACCCCGCGCCTGCGCCTCAAAGATGGCCCATTCGGCGTGTAAGGGTACAGTCCAAGCGGCTGGCCAGCTCTTCTTCCGGTCTCTATCTTTGGGTAGATTAGATTAGTTTCGATGCATTATATCCGGACAAGGCAATGACTCACACATCGGAAGATTCTGCACCGATTCGCAGCAAAGCGAACTCGGGCGCGAGAACTTGTTGATGCCCTTGGCCGTCACGACGTCCAGGAGTACGCTGACGTACGTCGGGATACGGAGCTTGCGGTAGAATGCATGGTACGTCGCGACATTGCTACCCGCCAGTATAGCGCCGCGTCGAGGGGAGGGCCCGTGGCTGAGCCGCTGAAAAAGAGCGTTATTTGGGACCGTGCGCAACAGCGGCGCCAGAACGGAAGCGCAAAACGTCAACCAGGCGTCGATCTCAGCGGCTGAGCGCTGGAATACGCGATGGCAAGCTTTGTACTCGGCCATGCTGTCCAGACCAAACCAGTGCATGTATCCCCATGCCTTCCACATCGTGGACGCGACCGTGCTCGGGATGGTCATCTCCGAGAGCAGCTTGTGCTCGATCGAATCCTCCTTCAGAACACCTGTGCCGATGACCTGTTGCAGGAACAACACGGTCTCCTCGAAGTCGTTGCACAGTTCGTGCACTTGTATGCGCCCGTTCTCGTGGACGCTCGGCTTCGAGAAGTAGCCGACCTTGAGGACGTCCGAGTGCGATTCGCCCTCTCTGCCCCTTTCCACGGTCCCAGCGTCACCCTTCGCCGCCCTCGCCGCTCTCAGTTCCCTCTGCTCTCTCAAGGGTTTCAGCCTCTCCTGATCGAGATCCTCCCTCCACGCCCGTCGAAACTCGTCAATCTCCTCCTGCCCTTTGCGAGGGATACGCAGAAAAGCCAGATGCGGCGAGGTGTGGTCGAATGGCATAGGGTGCAGCCAGTACTCGAATATGCCATAGAGGCCGTCCTTGCCAATTGAACCGTTGGAGATCGCATTGGCGGGATCCGGCGGGTAGAACTCCGAATCATAGACGATGATTGCGGAGTCGCCCCATTTCACGGCCGCAACATGGCCTGGCGGTATGTTCAAGCCCGCCGCACTTGAGGATTTAGAGGTAGATAGGGCGGGCTGAGTGGATGAGAATGCGGGCGTTGGGGAAGACGCCACTGTTTGTTGAACTTGTAGCGCGGCCTTGACCTTTGGGATCTTGTATCTCGGCGCCAACGCCACAAGCGGATTTGCAAAAGGCGTGGGCGCAGAAGTGGAGGCGACGTGGGACACGGGTGGAGGTACATGCGATGGGGCGCGGGCGGGCATAGGCACGGGCACCGGGGCGGGCACAGGTGCTGGAGCGGGCGCGGTTGCAGGTGCGGGAGCAGGTGCAGGTGCGGGAGCGGGTGCAGGAGCGGGCGCGGGCACGGGTGCCGTTGAGGTTGCGGGCCGGTTCTTCGCCTTCTTCCTGCTCTTCTTGCTCCTCGTCTTGAACTTGGGGGGCCGGTAGCGCTTGCGGGCGGCATTGGACTTCTCCGCCTCTGACTCGGAATCGATGGGCTCGTCGGAGAGATCCCAGTCATTGAAGCGCTCTACCATCCCGTTACTATTCGGCGGCGGAGGGCTAGGCGCGCGGGAGGTCGACATCGTGGCGCGCCAGGTATTTGAGCGTCCTCGTACTCGACCGGCAGACAGGGCAAAAACCCGAGTCTGTGCTTGACGGTGATACGGGGTGTCTCGTCCTACAACAAACTGTTACCGCGCGACGAAGGGCAAAAACCCGATTGAAGCGCGTTTGCAGTCTGTGGTGGTGGTTGAAGGGAGAGCCGAATAGACGTGGTGTCAGTCTAATTCGGCGATCCGTTCACACGAGTCTATGCAGCCTAGTGCGAACGAGTTAGCGTATTCGCTACGCGGTTATTGTACTCACATTGAGTATAATTCAAGTTCAGATAATATTGTACAGTACAGATACATGTCAATCAACATACAAGAACATCAGAAATTAAACAATGGTTAAATAAGCGTGTTTATCAGAGAAAGAATTAACGTAGAACCACTGGCACTTCTGTAGCACGTTGTCGCTGTTCCAGGTGGGGTCTATGCGCGGGCCATACTTGGGGAGGAGGGACACGCTGCGCCGGATCCGGTCGATGGGGAGGATAGAAACGAGAGGTTCGTTATCGACGATGTTGCGCTTGACACGGTACATGTCGACGTGCTTTTCAGGTCCCCGCCGACTGAAGCTGGTGAACCATTGGATGTACGCCAGATGCTTGGGGACGCTCGCAGTGTTAGCACCGAAAGCCTTCTCACGAGCCTTCTCAGATAGGCTGAATATCAGTTGCACTTGGCCGACCCGGTACCCTACACAAGTGCATCGGTAAGTGAGTCTATCGACACGGTCTGAGTACACACCATCAACCCCAATATGACCGCCTTTGCCGTACTCGTCTATGAGGGCAGTGTTAAACCTGCCCTGCATCTGCCTCAACTGCGTGTCCTTATATGCTGGCCTCGCCGATATCGAATCCGGCAGCTCCGGCACCTGGTCCCCCTCCCTCTCCAGCGCATCCTTATGCCAGAACTTCATGCGGTGATACGCGCTCACTGAACGACATGGCAGGACATACCCTGGCGCCGCCCTCGCGATATCACGATCGGAACTGGTCGGGTTCTTCGTCTTCAAGACCCATTTGTTCAACTTCGCCTCGAAACCCTCCGTGCCATACACCGTCTCGGCCTTTGCAAACGGCAACGATTTCACGTTTGGGTAACGCACGATCGTCCGCTTGAATTTGATCGCTCGCGGGAGCGGTGCTTGGACGATGTCTTCGAAGGCCGGTCGGTCGGCCAAACGCCATCGCACGTAGGCCTCGTGAGTGCGTATCTGCTCGCGGCGTTGCAGCCACAGCGTCATCTGCGGGTATTCATCTTTGCGGTTGGATGCGCGCCATGCAAGCTTCGCGTAATCGATATGAAGGCGTTCGGAGTACGAGGTGTTGAAGTTGTCGGCCGTACCGAGGAGCCGTATGGAGTCGAAGTAGTGTGCGAGGGCATGGATCTTGGGCAAGTTGAAGTGTTTGCGGGCGCCGAGGTCAAGGAAAATCTTCTTGTTGTCGTGGAAGCGCTTGAGCACCGCTTTCAGGTTATTGAGCGTCCCATCCGTAGCCTCGGGAAGCTGCGCGATGTACACGAAATCGAGTAGGCCGCAGACCGCATTGTACGCGCGCTTGCTGTTGTAGTGGTGAGGGAGAGGTAGGTCGATAATGACGCCGAGGAGCGCGCAACAGATATCCTGGTGCTCGGTACCGGAGATGCGCGACATGCCCGAGATGCCCTTGTTGAACTGGCACAGCTGGTGATTCACCGGTAAACACTTGAAGCGCGCGTCCAAGACCTTTGCGCCATACACGGACTTGAGCTAGGATATGAGGTGTTTAACAACACCCTGGTACAGTTGATGGAGGATGTCCGGCGTGAGCGCAGAGTAGATGTCGACATGCGGGTAGTCCTTCCAGAACGGCGCGAGTGGCTTGATCCCTGCAGCTTGACACACCGCGACATAGGCTTCAACGTCGCCATCCTCTGGGTCCTCATCTGCAAGAGCGAGCGCCTGGGCGATGGTGGACAGATCGTGGAGCTGGCATTTGCCCAGCTCTCCAAACTTGGACGGTTCGAGTGTGCCCTTTGGGCAGGTACCGTACTTCACGCCCGCCACCAGCACTTGCTCCGGGTAGTCACCAACGTATGCAGCAATGAGCGGGTGGCAGCGCCTCTTGACGCCATCGCCAGACTTGAGCACGACGCCGGCATCTGCGACGTCACGCAGGGGCACCAACATATCACGCATGCAGTCGTGGAACAAGCTGGCCTGTGCGCGTTGCCGGACGTCGTCCCGCTTGATACCCTGTAGACGTGTTACTGGAAGGTACCCCAGTAGCACCTGGCCCTGCAGCGAGGTCTTCCTGCGTAATTCCTTCGGCAAATTGCCGATCGTCAGGTAAACGGGGTAGCAAGAGTGGTTGCGGAAGAGCGTGAGTTGGGTCTTGTCGGAGGAACTGATGAGTGGAACGATGGTGGCGCCAGGTGTCGAGCATAGCGTACGCACAGCGGTACAAGCTCACACAGACTTACCTGGATAGATGGATACAGAGATAACTGGGTGGTGGTTGGAAGCAAGCGACCTTAGCGTAGCATTGCAGAGACAGCAGGTATATATACAGGTAGGAGAGCGTGGGAGCCTAGCACGACAGTATGTGGAATGCAGATAAGCAGANCAAGCGACCTTAGCGTAGCATTGCAGAGACAGCAGGTATATATACAGGTAGGAGAGCGTGGGAGCCTAGCACGACAGTATGTGGAATGCAGAGAAGCCCCTACTAGGGCTGGAGGCGCCGAGAAAGGAAACGAGAAAGAATCACGTGTTCAACACCAGGCTTGTTCTTCTCCAACTTGGTCTATGGACGTCGTCAGTTCCCAGGTAATGATAGCCTAGAAGGCGACCCGATGGACGCACCTGCATTCTCCACCACCAGCGTGCCGAGTGCATGTCCGAATATGCCCTCTCCTCCACCCGACCGTGTTCTGTATCGACAACGACAAAGTGTTTGACCGGCGCGAACACCATTGAGCTGGCGAAGTCGGGTCGCGCATAGAGGTCCTTGAGAACGTCAAGCGCATCGCGTGCGTACATCTCTAGTGTCTCTCCTCCGAGCCGGTATGTATGTCGCATGAAGTCCGGGCGTCGAGGTAGCTCATTATCGAGTATCTTGTTGAGCTCGTGCGTATTGCGATATTGGAGGTCGAGACGCTCCACAACCTGTAATGTGTAAGTCAGCAGTGGGGTCACGGCGCACTATGAGCGTACTTACACCTTCAATCTTTAACATATCCGTCAGGGCATTGGATCCGATGCTATGCGTCTTGGCCCACGCAGCGAGATCCCAATCGAGCTTGGTGGCGAACGGGTGGTAAGGATTCTCGTGAGCACCCTCTGGTAGGGCGGATTCGTAGTCTGCGAAAGGGGTACTGTGAACGTCCCCTGGGTTGACAGGTTCCTCTGCCATCCCACCAAACAGTACGGTGCGCCTCTTTGAAGGGAGTGGTGGTGGGATTGGCTGTGGAGCAGGTTGCGGAGGCAGTTGCGGAGGCGGTGGATCCAGATCTTCCTCCGGAGGTGGCGGCGCGCCCTCAGGCGCAGGTTCGCCGGCACCGGCATCGGCGTCATTGCCTATACCGAAGTAATTGTATAGGTGGTCGAGATATCTGACTTCTTCGTCCCCCTCGACGCCAAGATCTGATCCATCGCCTTCCTCCCCTTCCGCCTGATCTTCGAGCTCATCATCCTCATCATCAAAGAGGACGCCCTCAGCGTCCCGCCCAGCAGGCCCGTTTGCTTGAGCTACCAACGCGTCATCCTCCTCGCCCCAGCCATCGGGATCAGGAGGTGGTGGCGGTGGCGACCTTGGCGGTGGTGGCGATGGGGGAGGACTCGGAGGGTCTACGTCCATGGCATCGAGAGGTGTAGGATCGATATCCATCGGTGCATGCCTGGAAGGACCTGCTACGGGCGAGGCAGGCTGATCGTCGCGAATAGGAACGCGAATTCGTTGCGGCGGTGGGCGCGGTTGAAGGCCAGCATTTTTCAACTCCCTGCGCAATGCAGCGCGGTGGCTGGCGTCTTCGCGACATCCGGCATTACGAGACATTGTGCGGTGCGTCTTGAGATGAGCACTCTCCGCAAAGTCTCGACCACAATTGTCGCACGCATACTCGCGTCGCTTAGACTGGGCTTGGGTGCCTGCAACAGGCGTCAGAACGAAGCAGAAGGTAGACGCAGGGGAGGCAGAACTCACCAACAGTGCGTGCCCCTCCAAGAACGGTATAGCGAAAGTATATAGTGGCATTGTTGAGTAAGCCAGCCTGAGCGAGGTCTTGATGGAGATGGAGAAGGCACGGCGCGCCGCCTGCGCGTGGGCACAGAAGCAGGTGGAATCCAAGTCGTGCATCTTGACTGTGCAGGCGCAGAAGGCGACGACAATCCAGTTCGCGCACAACCCAAGCAGCGGATGCTCCCCAAGGTACTCTCAACAGCACTGTTTCACGCAGGCCGAGTACGAAGACGTTGAATACTTGGTGGCGCCTTTCTGCATGCGTGGGTGCAATTTCGGGCGGAAGTGGTGGAGGGCTGCAGTTGCGCAGGTAGAGCAAAAGAATAGGGGTCGCGAGGGTGACCGTCGTAAGGGCGCGAATCGCCAGGATATAGCGGTGAGTCCAGACACGGTGCAGTACAACTTTAATGACATCGCTGACCCTTGGCGCCAGCAATTCACAACTCCAAGCAAGCGCGACTCGCATGTAAATTATTGTGAAGGAGGGAAGAGATGGTGGTGTTGCGGCGAAGTGTCGTATAAATGGACCGGCTGCAGCGCCAAAGACGAGCACATTCACGAACAGGACGGGGCGAGCCAATATAATGCATAACAGGCGGCAGATAATGCCGTAAGCCTGCCCCATTGCCTTGTCCCACACCCAGACGCTCACCAGGCCTAGCAAAACGTCCGGGCTAGCCATTACTGGCCCTCTTTGTGCGGGATGTCGACAGAATGCGCGCTGATGGAAGTTCGGAGCAGGAGCGCGACCGCCAGGCCGATACTCGGCCGCCCAAGCGCCCCAACGGAGGCAAATTTGAGGGTGAATGTCGCGCGGAACAGCGCCAACTTGACAGAATCGACGTGTCAGTCACGCGAATTGGTAGGTAAAGAGATGTTCGTACCTGCGGGGCATTGCGGGAAGGCCAAAATTGTCCTGTCTGCCGACGCCCTCTCCCTCAGACCCTCATCCACGCCCTTGCCCACCCATCCAGCCATGATCCGCCGTTCCTCTCGCAAGAGCAAGCCCGACGAAGTAGCACAGGTCTCCGACGTGGCCGACACGTCTGTCCCCAAGACGAAGAAGAAGGAGAAGGCGCCGCCGTCGAGGAAGCTGAAGAACGGGCACGTCCCCTACGAGGACAAGCTCCCTCCCACCAAGTCTTCTGACCTCCCTCCTCGCCGGAAGCGCCCTGCCAAGGACGCCGAGGACGCCAACATGGACTCCGACTCTCGCCTCACTCCCCTGCCTGAGGACATGGTCAAGGACAACTGCATCACCGCCGACACCAGCGACGAGGAGAATGGCGGCGATTATCAGCCGGACGCCAAGGACAACGAAGACAGTGATGTTTCCGTTGAGCTCAACGAGTTCGAGAATGTCAACTCGAACCCCAAGGCCACGGGCACGAGCGGGAAGCCCATTGTGCGTACCAAGAAGTACCAGTTGATCGAGACTATGCTCAACGCTGTGGTAAGCCTATCTATCATCCTTATCCGAGTGGCCATTGCCTCACCTTTCACCAGAAGACGACCAAGACGGCCATCACATCGGTCCTGCGGGCTGGCGCCATGAAGAAGAAGCCGTGTCCCGACCCGTTCGTGTCCGACTCCGACTCCGACAGCGAGGGTATGCCTGCTACTATCAGTCAGCTGGCGAAGGGCAAGGCCAAGGCCACCGAGGTAAGCCGACTTACCGTTATCGCGTATGACAACGATGTTTACCACCGGCCAGGACGTCCAAGCATCCTCGTCGGACTCTGAAGTCATCACCCGCGTTCCCCGTCAGCCCGGTGTGCCCACTCCGAGGTATAAGGTAAGATGCTTACCGTCTGTAGAGCGCAAACAATGGCTGACGCCGTACAGGTTAAAGAGCGGGCTGCCCCTGAACCGCGCAAGTCCGACAAGGAGATCGTCGAGGACAGCGAGGAGAGCAGCGATGAGGAGGAACCCCCTAAGAGGAAGCCGCGTAAGCTTCCGGAGTCGTGGACGGCAAGCACACCCACGGTGAGTATACTTACTCTCATCACCGATAATGCCTAATGCTCCCATCAGGCCGGCAAGTCGTCTGGTAGCAGCAAGGTAAGCCGCTGTCCACATCTTGATGAGTCCCCCAGCTATGCGGCTATCCCAGAGCAAAAACTCGAGGGATTGCCTGCGACGGCGCCTTACAGTGCCGCAGCCTGGGGATGTTCTTGACGAGTACGGACCAGGTCCCGCCGGGCAAGCCAGACAAAGGGCAAAAACCCGATTGTCCGGCAAGCCGTGTCGTACGGGGCTGGGGTAGCAATCCCTTCTTCAGGGACCACTGAGCATGCCGACTACCTGCGTTCACGAGCATCGTCAGTGGGTTCGCGGACATCGATGGCGATGGTGGTGATGGTGGTGAGAAGGAAAGATGCGACTTCGGTGCTAGATGCCCACGAGGCGCACAAGGCGTGAGTCGTTTGAGCGTCCAGCGCCTAAGTCAACTTGTCTCCTCACCATCATCACCGCCCTTGCCGCCGCTCCCGCCCTTGCCGCCCTTGCAACCCTTACCATCAGCCCCTCGCATTCTCCAACGTCTCGTCCATCGGGTTTTTGCCCTTTGATGGACGGTGGAGCTGCATTGGGATACGCACCTTTTTCCGTCTCCGGGTTACTTCCGCGCTCGGGTTTTTGCCCTGCGCGATGAGTCCCCGGTGGCGATGGTCATCTTCCCCGGCGTCGTCTGGTCCACTGCGTGAGAGCGTTTACTGACTGGACGACTGCCAGGTACCGGTTAAGGGGCAGACCGTTCCGGTTCAGCTGAAGGTCAAGGGCACACCTGCCACTGGCAGCGTCAAGGTGAGCGCCATAACTTGTCCCTTGTATGCTCCTGCTTACAACAAACCTTATCAGGAATCGGCGAGCAAGAGGCGTACGAAGCTCAAGGCCCCTGGCGCTGGTAAAAAGGCCAAGAGGATGGTGCGTCGTTTCTGACTTCACTCTTATTTCATTGGGAGCTTACGCCTAGTGTTAGGCCCTCAATAACGACTCGGACGTCGAAGTCCTTGGTGCCGAGGAGCTTAACGAGATGCAGACCGCTAAGCGCCACAAGTGGATGCAGATGAAGGCCCACGAAGCGAAGCAGCCTGTCTCTGCGCGCATGATCATCGACCCCAGCACGCTCAAGTTCGCTCCTCTGTCAGAACAGAAGTCGGAGGTGCTGGTGAATGCCATCAGCGAGGCGCATGCGTTCTGGTACCACTACTATATGTTCTTCAACCTGCATGGACCACTGCCAAGGGCGGTGAAGGGTGTTGATGTCGGCAAGGCAGCCATCGCCGGGGCTGCGCTAAGGGCCGTCGTCACGGTTGGCAGCCATCATGCGGAAATCAAGGAGCGTCTCGAGACGGACGACAAGTTCGTTGACATTGTCTGCAAATTTGTGAGTACTCGTGTCTGATAATGTGGAGTGTTGTCTGATATGGGCTACAGATCCACAGCAGGAAGTCGGCTAATCACGGAAAGTACGCTGGCATCGCGTGCGACATGATCCTTGGCCTGTTCCCGGCTCTCAAGCAGGTCGTGGAGTCGAAGACTGCTATCGACCATCGCCGCGTCATGCACGCCATTACGGCGCTCCTGCATGAGCACGCGTTTGTATGGGAGGGCACACTGGCGGTAAGTATTCTATGTCCTACTACTGGCCTTCGAGTCGCTGACTTCGTTGTCTATGACAGCGCGTAGCGCCGAGCAACCCCGAGGATGCCCGCATGGAGTACCGCATTCATGCCGACGCGACAGGCAACCCTTACTTCCAGCCGGGCTTGGCGGAGTTCATCACGAAGTCATGCTTCAGTCAGGACAGCCGTGGCATCAACATCGACCACGACTTGTTCCCTGACCCGGCTTTCGTCATTGAGGGCACGGAGAACGAGAACCGCAAGGAGGTCCCGCGCCAGTTGCTTGCGTTTGCTGCCGCGATGGTACGCCGAGCATATTGCACTCCACTCACACGCTTCTGACAAAGCCCATCTAGATGGAGCTTGCTCTCAAGGAGTATACCGGTGGAACGTACTCTGCGCTCACCCTTCATGAGCCCTTCCTCCGCAGACTCTACGAATACCATGAGAAGACCATCCGCAACTTCGACCCCGTGCAGGCATCGATCCTGCTTCAGGAAACCTATCTCGCAGCCCGGTGAGTACTCTATCCCACACTAACGTCACGCGGGTACTGAGTAGTTGGTATGTCCAGCGAATGGGAGCCCCGCGTCATCGAGGAGGAAGTTCCTACCATCGTGGTCCAGAATACGTGGGAGGGATTGATTGCGTACTTCAAGTTCAGTCGCCGCTGCCGGCGCGGCGCACAGCCCGCTGAGGCCGGCCCGTCTGGCGAGCAGGAATAGTTACTATCTGGTGCGCCTCATATGCAACTCGAAGCGTGTTGACGTTACTAATCAAATTGTATAGTCACACCTATGATCCCCTATGACTTCTCCCGTTAAAATCGCGGTGCCTCTGACCGCCGCCTTGCTTCGATCATGTCCGACCTCTCGCGCTCAACCGCTGTACTACTCTATACCCCTCACACTCAACCGTCCCCCCCCCCTTTTTTAAACCCCGATCGTGCTGTATGTATTGCCTGTGGTCGTGTCGTCACCTGCGCTGCAGGGCCCAATCAAATACGTATTTGCTCGGTCATCATATGCTCTCATGGGCTCATATCGGATTCATCGCAAACGAAACGAGTGGTAATGGCATCAAAATAAGTACTATTACGGCTAATACGAGTACGTGTGAGCACGTATGCATGGCGGTGAGTGAGATCTATGACATCGCCATCTTTCATACAACTAACGGTACCTGTCAGGCGAAGCTCGCGAGAACGTCGCGTGAAGACTCCGTGAGCCTCGTACTAAAACGAAATGAAATGGGGTAGTTGCTCAGCCTACCTCAGGACGTCTCACAGCTCAAGCTGCCTCGGTGAGACTCATCAACGCTCAGTGAGGGTCGATGAGAGGGGAGGCCTTTTCCTGATGCACCAGGGCAGAATTCGATCTTGAGACCAAGTTGGGGAAGGACGAAGAAGGAAGTGGTTTTGTGAGTACCAACCTCGAGTGCGAGCGTAGCTAACTCCTTAGTGTCAAGGAAATCAAGGTGTGCCTTCTCGGAGCTACCCTCCTTGACTGCGAGAGTGGCAAAATACTTAAAGCGGAGCCATTTGCGGGATGTGAGCACCTTGCCGCACTTCTGCACGCAGCGCTTTTCAACTCTTAGGGACTAGGTAAGCTAGGGCTTCCTTGATGAAGAGGTAGACAAATGAAAGCGTACTTTTTGGCGATTTCGACTTGCTCTGGCGCGATCTTATGCAACATCTTGCCAGCTTGAGGGACGACACTCTCACAGACATACTTGAGAAAATGCGCCACGCGTTCTTCCATAACAGGATCTTCTTGACGAGAGTCCGCGGTGACATATGGCGCCTTCTGCGAGTGCGACCAACAGCCAAAATGTGCAGCAGGCGTAGCTGAGCGGTTGTCGGGATCAGGCGAATGGAATGTGAAGCGGTGGTTGTCGGACGGATTCATCAGCGCATCCCAGCGGTGAAACAATTCCTCGCAGTCCGCGAGTGAGAGCATCTTTGGGAAGCGAGCAACACAGATGGGTTGACAAGGTTTGAGCGGGCGAGGGATGCGCAAGATGAACCGGTGATTATTGAAAAGGGTGCCCGCCTCTTTGAATTTGTCGAGCGCGTACAAGTCGAGGCCGCGCGCAGCAGCAAGTTTCTGGAACGCCTCGTGACCCTTGATGTGCTGTGCAAAGATGTCGATTGCATCAAATGATTTAATGTATACAATTGCTGTTGCTGAATATGAGTATGTGACACCCGAAATCGTGGTGAGCATGCACTTGTGTTTGCCAAAAATGGCTCGGCACCCTCAACTCTAGCCACTCCACGCCTCAGGACCTGCCGCCCTTGTCCATCAATCTCCGCCGTCCAGTGCTCTGGGTTCTGAACGAAATCAAAGAGATCCTTCGCCTCGAAGATGCCGGAGATGAAGGGTCTGCTGTGGGAGAAGCTTGATCGGACATCGTGGCTGTGAGAGAAGGCCGAAGAGATCAAGAAGCAAGCGCTCGTGGCCAAGTGCAAGGGCGGATTTCCCTTCTCGGGATGAGGTTGATTTCCAGTTGCGAGCTTGGTGCTAGCAACCCTAACCCAAGTGGTTCCCACATTATCAAGCTCGGAAACACCCGATTTGCTTGCCATCTGCCCACGTGTATGTAATTTTCTTTTCTTCTGACATATTGTTATACTGCTTGCCTCACCATTTCAGCGCACATCGTCTGTGCTGGGTGTTGGTGACAGGAAGCCTGATGTTCAATCTGGCCAAGCCTTCTCGCATGTACCCCGTGCTTACCGTTGAAGTGCGCATAGTCTGCACTGGGTATTGCCAGTGGGAAGCTTGAAGTTGGTTAATTTTATATGCCGAACCTTCTCGCGTGTACCCCGTGCTTGCCGTTTCAGTGCGCCTCGTCTGCACTGGGTATTGCCAGTGGGAAGCTTGGAGTCGGCTCATCTCGTGCCATATTTGCCATCTCAGCGCGCGTCGTCTGCGCTGGGCAGCTGGCCGCGCCGTCTTTCATCCTCAACTGCCCCCAATTTGGTGAACTCTGATTGGCCGGTTAATCCCGAGCCTCACCGATCCGCCACGTCGACCGCGAGAAGTCATTTGACCTTTTTTTCTTCCCCCCACCATCCCCTCTGCTCTCCCACCGGTCTTTGTGTCCCCACCCAGTGCTGCTCCCGCCTCTCTCGCCGTTGTCCCTGTCGTCCCTAGGCTTGGAGGGCAATATGTATGTCTTTGGTGGGCACTGACGCGCTGGCATTGGTCCCGTGTCCCGCACCCCATCGTTAGGTATGTTGTGTCCTGGTAACAATATGAAGTGTCGCTCACGTCCATCTTTTCAGCCGTTCTCAAGGGTTTGCCCTGTATTGTTGCCAAGGTATATAATCGTGCACGGTAGGAATGGAGGCTAACCTGTTCTGTAGCATTTTGCCTCCTCGCTCGCGACTTGACCACACCTATCTTCTTGTCTGCCCGCTCGTTGCCCAGCACGAATGGGCTCAGATTTGTGTCTCGTTGCCGCTGTTCTAGGTACGTTTAATGGTCAACTGGTATCTTGCACGTGGACTGATTATGTCTCAGGTCGTCGCGCTTGCTTTGCGCCCTTCGCGCTCGGAGACCCAGGCGCATCCGTTTGCAGTCCAGTTCCGCTCGCTTGTGGTGGCTTCGTGCTTGCGCGGGCGAGCGGGCTTCCGGAAGTCACAGTGCTCCGTGCTGTTCTGCGAGTGCACCGGTGCTTGTTCCGCTCGCTCGCGGTGGCTTCATGCCTGCGCGGGCGAGTGGTCTTCCAAAAGTGATGGCGCTCCGTGCTGTTCTGCGAGTGCCGCAGGCGCACCCGTTTACGGTCCACTTCCGCTTGCCCGTCATGGCTTCGTGTCTACGCGGGCGAGCGATCTTCCGGAAGTGACGGCGCTCTGCACTGCTCTGCGAGTGCATTGGTGCTCGTTCCGCTCGCTCCGTGCTGTTTTCGCAAGCAGCCTTGTGGCCGCGACTGGACGCCGCTCCGCGGCACTCATCGCGTTGGTTCTCATGCTTACCGCTTGCATTCTTGTTTGGTTTTATATTGTAGATATTTTACAGTTGTGTCAGATTTCACCAGTGTTGTACATCTATCGTTCAAACCTTCTAGACACGCCGAGTGCGCTATGTACGAACAATATAATTGATTCTTGCTTTTACTTGATAGCAGACATAATCGACTTGCTGCTTTTCTATTGCCGTGTTAGAGGTGCTTGCGCTGTGGGGATCTTAAACTGTCTGAAGACAGGTATGCGCGCCAGCGCATCATTGAGTTTTGAATTTGGACTTCGACACCCATGCAGTCTAGGACGGCTCGAAACTCATATCTAAGCGACAAAGTCTGTCCAGACTGTGGCATTCGTAAGGTCTTCCGTCCCATTATCTGCTCTGGTCACTATACGGCTCAAAACAAGGGTTGTGTTTATGAGCGGGTGAGTTGTTCACTGTTCATGAGCGCTCACAATTCTGACACAACTTAGTGCAAAGGCAATGACTTGTCAGAGGCAGATCAGACCAAGCGAGCTTGCCACTACTTTCACTAGCTACCAGACTCGATGGCCGATCATATAGAGGAGCCTGGCACTCCTGATTCTTCACAACCAATGCATGCTGCTCTGTCAAACTCAGGTCAACAATGGTGCTCTATGACTGGATGTACTAAGCGCGCACATAGGGCATGCGGTTTATACTGTATGCACTGCCAGGCGCGCCAGCGTGAGAAGGGTACTAGCGAGGTTTGTTGTCCTCTATTGCTATCATTCAAGGGTACTCATGATAGTGTTCAGTACTACTGCAGGCCTCATGAACTTAAGCATGCTGCTGTACCGTCTCTTCCTCCTTCCATCCCGATCACATCATCTCTGGCCATTCCGAAATCTGATTCCAATATTGTCGCTCCCACACCTGTAGCTTCCAGCAGTTTGCAAGCTCTCTTTCGCACAGACTATGCTAAGAACATCAGTCCGATTTACCAGGAGGTTCTGCGCCATAACGAAGCTGCTGCCCAGGCCGGTCATCATGAGAATGCGCAACAGATGGCACATGAGCGAGCTTCTAAACAGGAGTTCAAGGTTGTTTGGTACCAAACGGTGTGTTATATGGTACTCTGAAAAATATACATCTCATTATATTCTAGAATAATGAACCTCCCACACATTTCGAAGGTCTTTCCGTCCCATCACGTCATCTCTTCCAGCCAATGGATTTCCCTATCATCACCAATATTGTGGGAAAGGACAACTACACCACTGGCTATTGGGTTTTTGACATCTCTCAGAAGCGTTGTGTTCTACGCTCCAACGCCATGCCTGTTCGGTCTCATGAAATTCTGTACATGCGGTCGATGGGACTACGGGACAGCGGGTGTCTTCAAGAGTTTCCTACAGAGCTCCTGCCACAATCAAGGGCTCCATCTCCTACTCTCTCGGTTCAACGGGGCAAGAAGCGTGCAGTTTCACCAAGTAGTGATGATAGCGACAATGAGTAGGTGCAGCCATTTCTTTGCACAAAGATCATTTCTCATATGTTGATATAGAGTGGAGATCATTGAGCGCAAACTATCAGTATCACCTAGGAAATTAGCAAGGACCTCGTAGCTCACATCGTACGGCTTCCCATATACATCTACGCGATTTCCCCAAGCCTTGCGTTCAAGCTCTAGCCTGTCGTTACACTCAATGTCACGAGTCTCCTCTCGGGCGTCATCTTATGCGCCATCACAAGTTCCATCTCGTGCTGCATTGTCAACCTCAGAGTCGGATCTATTGGACTTCACGTTGGAACTGGATAGCCAAATTCCACCTTTATCTCGAGCTCCCTCTTCAGCATCATTCCGGGCAAGCTCCCCAGAGTAAGCTCTACTTTGCTCTACAGTTGATATAATCTAATACTGGCATAGCCTATATATTGTGGAGGAGACACCGTGTAAACCCTCTCATACTCCAGAGTTTCAGGCTCTCCCGCCAATGTCTTCGTTGCCAATTGCTGTAGGATCATCTTCAAGATTATCTGGGCAATCACTGTATGTTCGATCTGATCTTACGGATCTCAAATTACTCAAATGCCTCATTAGAGAACCCTCTCAATCTTTAGCTGATGCACCCCCTGGAAAGTTGAATGGCCACATCTTTCCGTTTCACCATACTTGCGACATGGATACTCTGTTCAAGGTGGTCGAACGGACTATGAATGACACGCAACCGGCTACCAAGAGGAAGATAACACAAAGAGACACATTTCTCTCCGTACTGGGCGGTCTGGGAGAGACATTTGTCAGTTCCACATTTTCAGAGCACTATTCTATTTGGAGAACTGCTAAGTTGGCAGATGATGGTGGTGCAATACATCTGAACAAGAGTATCACTGCAGGGAGGACGGAGGATGGTTTGTGGGATGGTTTGCGGAAGGCTTTTGCAAAGCCAAAAGTTTGGAAGAACAAAGCGGCGTAAATATAGAGAGGACACTTAATAGTTTTGATTTACATGATTACTCTATATTCATCTTAATAGCCGGAGGCCCATCTACGCAAGCAAGGTTCAAGGACAAAAAAGCCTCTGACAAGATTTGAACCCAGATCCTATTGGACTTTCAAAGTGACCATAACCATTGAGCCAAAGCGTCATACTAGAGGTTACTTCCCAAAGTATCATAGTCCACCCGTCAAGTGTGAGACTCAGAAAGGTGACGTGCGTTGCCCATCTTGATGGTGACCAACCTTGCTTGTGCCCTCCATTTTCCCAGTATGAAAGTCAAATTGTGAGCCATTACCTTTGTGGGAGGATATGGGAACTTATCCGTACTAGTTCTTCGGACTCTTTGAAGGCAAAAAACATCAGGGTGAGGGCAGATGATACTACGCTAGTCCTTATCTCTCACTCTGTATAGGCATTATTTGCTCCTTGGCACATAGGTGGCGAGACCAACAATGTCCGCTCACCTTGTAGCCAGAAAAATGTCGACACCCTTAACAACAAGTTGGCGAGCTGGAATTGGGTAGATGTTGAGAAAAGGGGGGAACATGAGCTATCAGCGGAGGAGAAGGTGGTGATGACTGCGATACGGGACAAACTGCTGGAGATTGAGGACTCTACATCTCAGGTGCATGATCCGCTCATCAGGCATCTGTGTCTGTATTGCTCACCAGTACTTATATCTGTTTAGGACACCCATGTATCTCCAGTGGGCGGATCTGAGCCTTCTCAGCTGGCTGGTAAATCTGCGACTCCCGCCCCAAGTCTACCAGATACCCACATGTCATCATCCCTATCTCCTGCGTCACCTCTAGAAGGACTACAAGGCATTGTATCTCCCAACAACTCAGTTGCTCCGCTACCTGTTTTGTTCAGTGGCAAAGAAAATTGTATGTCAATGACAGATATAATTAGCCGGTCTCTTTTCAATTGAATTGCTCTAGTAACTGTCTCAGTACCGCTGAAGCGCTCGTTTCAGAAGATATCTGGTGATAGTAACACGAGTAAGTACTATTGGTATACTGCATCGCCAATATAGCTGACCGGTGACAGATATCTCCGTCATTCACATTGTCATCAGTGTGGCGGGTGGCCCTATGCTTGTCTATCTTCCCAAAGCTTCTGTCGAGGGTCATGAAGTATCAAGCCTTGGCATTTTGGCTGTGCGAGTAGAAGATCTTGTTGGCATGCTGCAGGCGGGTTTGGACAACAACTCGATACCGGTTCCCAACTCAGGTAAACCAAGTGTTTTAGCCGTGAGACTTGAGCTGACCAATTGATTAGATGACCTATACATCATCGAGTACATGCTCCCCATTGTCCCTATCCGCATTCTGTTCGCCGAAATCCTCCCCGGCAAAGTTGTGCGGCTACTTCCGGATGGCCAACATGCTCCCAATGTCTCCCCTCTGGCCTATGACTTTGTCTGTATCTCAAAAGTCCCAGACACAGACATTTGGGAAGCCAAGGTCTACATTCAATCTGCTGCAGATCTTGCTGGGCAGCTAGCTTCAGGCGTTATGGCTCCGTTACCTCATCCGGTCTCTCCAGCACCTCCATGCCTGGCCGTTAATGATCACTCTGGTCCATCAGCAGATCCGGTTTTTGGACCTCCTCCCGCAAATGAGCCAGAACAACAATCTCCCGCACATGTACATCTCTCTCGGTTGTTTTTGAAGCCTCTTATACTGAATATAATCTAGGACATCAGCGTCATTGACGGGTCTTCAGATCCTATCATAATCCGTATCATGGCGAACAACAAGGGTGACATAACAGAGGATAACAAGTCGACCGCTGTCATGTTGCAAAAGCAGTATCATGACGATGCTGTTTTACAGGAGATCCGCCTTGCAACGGATAAGAAGGGATTGCCTCCATCTGTTCTGGCGCGCCATGCTAAGAAGAGCTATGAGCTTATAGCTACAGCTGAAGGTTCTGAGCATCCCACAGTTGTTCTACAGCTCCTTACAGGCAGGTCCTATGTGCATTGCTATGCTCTCATTGAGATAGGGCGTGCGTTATTAGATCCTGAATGGGAGGCCGCTCACTGCGATATCATTGGTATACGCCTAGGAGAGGCTGTGAAGGAGACGGAGGGAGCAGGTACCTTACTCAAGGCTATGAAACTCTGGGATGATGATGGGGTGGCTTGGCCAACAAAGAAGAAGGGTGGGAAGAAGAATATGGAGAAGAAGGTTAAGAAGGTTAAGAAGGCCAGAACGTAGTTGTATAGTGCTCAACGTATTGCAATTATCAATGAATCAATATTTGATTGTCTGAAGACAGGTCTGATTGTCTGAAGACAGGTCCGACTGTCTGAAGACAGCTCCGACTGTCTGAAGACAGTCTCAACTAACTAGAACTTCAGCTGATAACTGACTTGATAAGGCTTGTCTTCAGCCGTCATGCTTACTATCCATGATCTGGGAGTATACCTGCTCTCTTCAGACACCCACTTGCTTAGGCTTGAAACTATAGCCACTGATACTTTACCAAGATTTCAGCGGCTCATGCGGAGATTGCTACATGCTGTTGATACATCTGTGACTCTCCAGGCTCCACCTTTGTTGGACAACATCTATGGCTTTTTACAACGTGCACTGGGACTCGATCGCCAGCAAACTACATTCTTTTGGAATATCTCATACCAATCTATACTCGGGAAAGGTCCTGAATCTCCTATTGATGGTCTTGTTGAAGATGACAATCTCTTTCGTCTTTATGGTGCGGAATATGAATTTGGTAAAAGTAGATATATCTGGTCACATCTCACTTGTTACTGATATTCTTATCATATAGGGGCCATCACTTTCTCTCCACCTGTCCTGCAATGTATACAAGACAACTGTCCTACTACACGACCTAACAACAAGCCAACAAAGCTGACTGATATAAAAGTGTACTCGGGAAGGGCATACACAATTCATCGTGGTGTTCTCCCAGTGATCTCGAGATCTTTTTACTGCCGCCATATGTACATCTGCTATTGGTTGGAAATGGTAATGGCTGACCTTCCAATCTGTAGACTGCCTGACCCGGTACTATCCAGCATACTACGTCCAAAATGCACGCAGTCAGGATTCTCAACGAATATACTATGAGGGGGTTCCAGACTTTGTCTATGTCAGCAAGTGTTCATTCGTTGAACGCACACTCTGCGAACTCATAGAGGCGCACTTTGCCATTTGCCAGTGAGATCTGCCATTCTGCTATATTTGTCCGTACTCTATCTCACAGACTCCATTTGATAGGAACTCAGGAGAACAGATAGCCCGCATCTACAATCACGTTCTAGCAGATCCACCTTCTGCGATCAGCAACATCTTCACCTCAGTCTTTAATGACAAGCTTCATCAGCCACTTGTACTCAACACTTTCTTCATCTACTCTCTTCTAAAAGATAAGAATTATGTCCGAGGAGAGCGCTTAGTCATACCCAATACTGGCAGCCAGAGCGACCGCTTTTCAGGAGCCCTGCTCGAGCGCAATCTCCAAATGGCTGGAACTGGTCAGGAGATGTGGGCGCATGCCTGCAAACTATGTCGGAAAGATACTAAGGATGGACGTATGTTATTCAGTCTAAATGTTGTGTTCTGTCTGATAGACACTCAATTTGATAGGGTCCATTGATGCTGTCGTCATGGATGGGGTAACTCTTGGACATCCCTGCTGCTCTGTTTCGGACTGCGTCGAGAGACTGGAAAGTCAGCAAGACTGGTTTTGCTTGGTACATGCCAAACTGTCTGAAGTATGCGCTATTGAGGGTTGCTCGGACAAAGTTCGCTCATCTGGAGCTCTCACCTGCTCCAACCCCTCTCATATTTCGCACGCTCAAAAGGACAGGCAGCTTAACTCTTACAGCCATCTCAAGCGGCGTGCAGAAAAGGCGGAACACTTGCGCCATGGTCGTTTGGCTAATCCGTCTTATGCCCAAACCGCAGACGAGCGAGCATCAGATGTATGTGTACTTTTGAAAGTGTGCATATAGAGTTCTAACTGGCTTATAGTCCCAGCCGGTCAGCCATGATGAGTCTACTCTTGGTGAAGTTGCAGACTTGATGGGCGCACTTGATCTCCAAAATTCTGAGACGGTATGCATTTTCAGAGCTTGGATTTCCATCAATGATATACCCATATTTACACAGGCTGCCTCCCATACTTTGTCTGGTGGTGTAACAATAGAGGATGTTCCTGAACCTCCCCCTCTACTTCAAAGCGCAAAACCCTCCTCGGCAGTCCCACTTCCTACAGAGGTACCACTGAGCATTGCCGGGGCTAAGCTAAGAAGCACTCTTCACCGTCGATGGACCCATAACGAGCAGCTCATGCTCAGGCCATGTGGTGTATGCATCTCCCGTATGTCAATGTATAGTTCTGAATCCATGCCAGCATGTTTGGTCAGTTGAATTTGAGGTCTCGTGTTGTATAACATACTGACAATTAGTTTAGCAATTTGGCAAAGAGACATTTCCAACACACAAGGTTCCAAACTGTGCACCGTCGTACTAGATCTTCGACAACGGGTGTAGCCTAGAGAAACACCTGAACGCTCAAGACGAACACTACTTTGATGATACCGCTCTGGTTGTCGACGTCTTTCACGCATTCACCAAACATAAGGAGAGCGATGAGTACTGTCAGACCAACTGCAACCCTTCACTATTTCCGGATCTGTACTCGAAGGAGGCAGGGTGGACGTTCAACTCCTCTATCTGTGAGCAAGTCAACCGATGGTTCGGAAAGTTTCAGCATATTGTCCGTGAGATGTCAACTCATCGGTATGTGTGTGTCTTGGCTGCATCCCTAAGCTATACTGATAGAACTTCTCCCTAGCTACAACTTCTTAGATGAGATGTTGGCGATCCACAACCGCTCTGTTGTAGCTCGTCTTCAAAGTGAGGGACAGCAGCCTCACCACTACCCCTCGGAGCAATTAAAGATGCCACGCAAATAGTCTGTGATCGGTGTCCATGCTCCTATACAAGTGTACCATAGATTTCAGACGAGAAGTTTGTAATGTGAAACAGCGGGTTGCTGAGCAGCCTCCTCACTTGTTCAGATATCTTCAGACAGACCCGGTTGTCTTCAGACAGATCTGATTGTCTTCAAACAGACCCAATTGTCTTCAGACAGATCCGACCGTCTTCAGACAGACCCGGTTGTCTTCAGACAGACCCGGTTGTCTTCAGACAGACCCAATTGTCTTCAGACAGTTACGACTGTCTTCAGACTGCCCCGGTTATCTTCAGATAGACCAAACTGTCTGAAGACAATCGGGATTGTCTTCAGACAGACTTACCTTTTTAGTCATTTCGACAGCAAGTAAGGTAGCACACTGATATAGCTATGGATTGCTTCTACTATTGGCCATCTTCACCCTCGGGCCTCATAGCAAATGCACTTCCCTTGTGTATTACACACTATAGTACTAATGGTGTAGTGGCAGCTAGTGTAGGCTGCCGCAGGTAGTACACACAATGTGGCATAAAGTGAGAACAGAATCTAGGCTAGTGCTGAGGTTGAGCACAAGCTAGCAATAAATTGTTGAGACAATTGTCTGAAGACAAAAGCGGGTTTGGCAGACTGGCGGATTGGCGGAATCCGCCACGGCACGTGATCCCCGCGCCGCGGCCATTCACGGAAGGATCTGCCTGATGTTCTGCCTCGATCTTGTCACAGAGGGCGTTGGAGTCGATGCCGTCAGGCTTGTACGATGGGAATCCAGGGAAGCTTGAAACCAGCACAGGAGCCGAAGGAGCGGTGGAAGGAACGGCAGAGGGTGCTGTGGGAAGTGTTGTCGCCAATGCTTTGAGCTTATCAAACAGGGTACTGAACGGGCGATTAGTGTTATCATATGGTCACTCAAGGGGTCGATACATACTTAGTGGCCAGTTCAGCTTGTTCTTTGAGCTTCCCTTGCTCTCTGCTGAGTTGAGAATAGCTGTCGTAGATCTGGCGGAAGTGGGGGTTGACTTAATACAGTTCCGGGGCGCTAGCGTTTCGTAGAATATGTATGTACAAGTTTATATTAGGGGAAGGAGCCTGTGCTCAGGTCAATATTGTACTAAAGATGTGAATGTAATACATTATCCATACCAAAAGAGCCAAACTGCCCATGTTGTCAGCAGGGTGCTGGGTTCTCGCCGTAGGTTGGTCTTGAACATTAGAGTATGCTGGTTCTATTGGATTCTGAAACACTATGAGCATGCTGCTTACGATGGTGTGTGATAGGGAACACACCTGCGAAGGGTATACAGGAGCTACAACACCATCAGTGCGCCTCAGAGTTTGGCCATCGAGCGGAGAGAAGCCAAAGTTGCCAGCATCTAGACCGAGCATTGGCAGTTGTGCCAAGTTTGCTATCTGTAGAGAACCAAGACGATTGGGAGTTGGCAGCGGCATTGACAGGTGTGGAAGAGAACCAAAGCCATGCTCTGGTACACTGTTGTTGTCACTCATGGTGGTCGACAAGAGATTTGCGTGCCACGTGTCGCAACACGCCATTGGGCGCGGCAGAACTCGACAGGTGCGTCGGCTTGACTCTCACTCTCATTCTTGACTGGTGTTCGCGAGCTCTTGAGGTTCCATATGAGTAGTGACGGTGGTGACAGTCCGGCCTACGAGCCGTCTCAGGACCTACCAGAACCAACAGGGACCTAGGAGGAACTTCCCCATCGGCCTGAAGCATTCCACTCAATGGATGCGACGTCAATGTGAGATATTGATGCAAGCTCTTCACCCAATGCATGCAGACACTGACACATAGCAGTCTCTACATTGCTGGCGGCTCGCTCGATCATGACACCACCGAGTCGCAGTGGGCCCGGCACTTGATGGGCAATGGGCAGCTGACACAGAAGCGCGAACTCGAACACGGTATGCAGCGAGTTATGTAACAAATGGATATCTCAGCTATCTCACAGATGCAGATGAACAGTGTGACGCCCATGAGATCATCATCTCGAAGTTGAAGAAGGAGATAGTTCTCCGTGATAACGAGATTGCATGGCAAGACACAGAGCTCACAAAGCGTGCCAAGGGGATCAGTGTTCTGAAGAAGTACGTAGCAGATCTCGAAGCACAGGCACGGCTTGTCAAGAAGCAGAAAGTCTGTTCTGCTCTCCGTCTACCAGCCGCAGTGACTCTGGACGAACGGGATGTTTGGCAGGCGTCCGATGACTCCCCCAAGGTCGAGCCTCGGTCACCGTCTAGTCCGTACTTTGGGTACTCGGATGATGCTGATGTGCCCTTTAAACCATTGATTATATTAATATAACGCTTACGCATATCTGCGCACTACAGAGTGTTGGTATGGGGTTGGTACTTCGCAAGCTGAAACACCCGAGGCCATGGAACGGCAACAGGTAGGCTTGCGCCTACTACAGAACCTGCACTCCCTCGAGTCAGAGGGGGATGGCAAAGGGTCTACAAATACGCACCAAAGCAGCCCCGAAGTCGAATATGACTACTAGTACCGCCAGGACCCTGCCGAATGCGCTGTCGACAACCACTTCAAGCTCGCATTCCCCGGCAAGTTTGACAGTCGTGACCATGGGCGCTAGACTTTGATGCAGGCTGTTGTACGTCGTGCAGACATTGTTTGCTTGTTCGCAAACCTGACAGCATGTGCAGATGAGGGAGAGAAACAAGTGCGCTAAGCGCTCCCTCGGTTGACCTCATGTCGTGTTCGGAAACCGGGCATCATTTCCGCGCGGTTCGACCCTCTCACAGACTTCCCTGTCAGCATATGTTGCTGCTCTCAGCCTGTATCTGTTGTGCGATGATAGCCATATATCTGATGCCCATTTGTTCAAAGTGTGGTGCCCGTAAGTGTTGTGGGACATGAGATACAAGCAGGGGTCGTGCTCGCCATTTACATTCCAGGTAATTGACGTCGAGACGCGCATGCGCGACGACGAGCACTTCTCGCACGTCAAGCTTCTGCACCAACCACGACACTCCCGATTTCTTCTCTTCTTTCTCATTGAGTCATCTGTTGCTAGGTAAATCTGCTACGACCCCCGGGCTGCATGCTGACCCAAGATCACGGCTATAGTTGTGCTCGATGTTTGCCCAGCGACACGCATCGACCCTAGCCAGGCTCCACCCCAGTGCGTCAGCACACTCGAATCGGCTTGTATGTGTGGTAACAACATTTTCAGACTCACTATGTATACCCCATCCGAACTTACCAGCCAACAAGTTCCGCGGCATCAGAGTTACGGCCACAGCAATTTGGTTGCTTGGTAAGCAATGGCTCGCGCAAAGGCCATTTAGGGCTATTTGCGCGAGCCATCACTTACCTAAGCATTGTTCGCCTGCCTCGGCCCGCCACTCTGCCTTCCTCTCTCGTGCAGCTATGTGGCCCTTGCGTACGTACGGTCGAAGTCATTGAAGAAGGCGGCCCACGCTGCACCTTCACGCGTGTGTTCCTTCCGTGAGATTAAGCTGGAGATGCCTATCCGATATGGCACAGGCAAAACTGCGCGTTAGAGATGGGCGAGCTCGCTGTGGACACTAACGATGCGCGACCGCGTCTGGGTGTCTTGGAGCTCATATTGCGCAGCTGTGGGCGCTCATTCTGCCGCAGCATCCACGGCATTAGCTGGCGCGGGGTGAGGATACAACGAGAGCGCGAGGTAGCCGCGTCAAGTCCGAGGCGCGGCTCGGGCAGCTCGGGCAAACCACTTTGTCGCGACAAAGTGGTTTGGCGACCGCGTTCACCGCGTCGATGCAGCCCCTGCGCGCCGCCTCGCTGCTACCCTCACCTTCTGTGCCTGCTCTTCTACATCAGCAGGAGCCTACTTGACTTCTCCGGCATGTATCCTTCGAGTGATGGCGTGAAGAGGACAAGGTATCAGAAGGTTGCGGATACACTCTCGGGCCCGAACGAGACGCGTTCGTGCATATGGGAACAAGGTATGTTTGTGTCCTGCACATATTCTGGATATGTCAATGCGCAGCCTGGGACATATTGCAGGTCACTGTGACTGTCACCGCCTTGGTTGCGCGAGCGTCGAGAGGTTCCGCCGGGTACGAACCGCCCGCATCGTCTCGATATGCTCCACCGCGGTCAACACCGTAGTTGATGGGCGCGTCCTTCGTGCCAACATTGCGCACAGGTTGGGTGAATGCATATACGGCTGCGCGCACCTATTCGACGGCCATCACGGCAAGAATGACAACACGAAATGCTCGACCGCTCGACATACGGCACACGAGGGCATAACATGACAATGTCTGGGGTGGCGATGTCAACATGTTGTATTGCCACCCATCGTCCGGGCAAGTGCGATTTGCCCGTATGCTCGCTCGCTCCAGGGGCGTATGTTTGTTCTCCCCTGTCAGTTTGCTCCCAATCTTGATGTATGTGCTCGTTGCATTGACCCTTAACTGATTAGCATAATCATGAGACCACGGCTGCTTGTCTTGCCCATTACTGACCTGTTTTCACTTGTTCTGCTGTGCTGTTGACCAAGGGAGTTCCTCTACCGCTATTTGGACTCCATAACTCGATCTGATATATGTCTACTTTATTGTGATACAGTGGCCAATACTAGATACTATACAGTCATGCTATACAAAGTCAGGTTCAGGAAGCAAATCCTCTACAACACCGGCGAGGAAGCCGGACGCCAGTGTGATCTTTTCGACCAAGAACCATCTACCTTCATGGGGTATCATCGCCACGACTGAGTCAATTGTTGAATACTCCACAACAACGATACCATCGTCATTGTGTACAGGAACCTGGTCGCACGAGTAGTACGTGCCGTATGTCTCTTTCAGCAAGTCTGGGTCGGGCTTGCCGTACATGTGAACCATTGCGAGAGTGCGCTCGATGCCTCGTACTTTCAGTCTGAAGTAGTACAGTACTTCGCCGAAGGTCACTGTACTGCCGTGGATGATCTGGGAATCCCATCAGCATATGGCAAGATACTGTATCTGGAAGGCCTACCTTGACGTTCCGGGAGATGCGGAGTTTGTGTAGCTCTTTCAATGTCTCCCGCCATGCGCAACGAGCAATCTGACCATTGGGCAAAAGCAGTCGTGCCCAGCGCTCCACCCTTCCATCCCACAGAGCATGCTTATGGATCCCGGCCTTCGCCATATACCGCACGATAGCAGATCGTTCGGCACCAGTTACTGTCCTGGGAGTACGCTCGGTTGCATGCAGAAGAGTGTGGCCATTCTCGAGCTTGATAGCCGTATGTGGGAGCTTGTCCGACGGGGCAGAGGGATCGAGTTCAGGTGCGCGTGCGTAGAGTGCGTGTAGTTGTGCGAGGATGACTGCCTCATTTGAAAGGTTCGCGTAAGGATTTGACGGCTGGCGTACGAGCGCCCCGAGAATTCTGATACTGCGCTTGCACGTATACTGCGAGATGTAGCAGCCCATGCCAAATCGAGTGGTGTCGCGTGCCATGTGCCATGCAATATGAATTGCGTGTCGGACAAGGTGCATGGGAGCGGTCTTCTTCTCGCAGTAGATCACCTCAAACTCCTCGTAGACTTCGTTCATGAGGATATGAGCGCGATCGAGGTCTGCGCTTTTGACAGAGCGCTGATGAAGAATCCGGATAGTAGCAGCGGCTTTACAGAAATGCGTATAGAATGGCTCTGGCATGACACCTCGGAGCATCGCAGGGGCCAGACCGTAGAACCAGGTCAGGAACTCCCATGCCTTGTAGCCACTGTTGATCTTCTCGTACGGGTTACGAGGAGGACGCTCAAACGAGCTAGGCAGGTAACAGAGAACCTCTGCTACCTCTTTGCCGTGACGTGCGAAGAGTTCGCCGACAAGAAAGACCCAGCCCCATGTATTCGTGTTGTCGCCAGCACTTGCTTTGAACTTTCCTGTCCAGAGGTCGAGGAATAAGGCCACAAAGTTCAGAGCCGCCCAGTGCATCAGATCGGAAGGAAGGCATGATGGAAAGGGTAAAACTGTGGCGACTTCACTGAATAGCAATGGCTTAGAAATGCCGGTGTGTAGGCGTCGGCTTGCGTGATTGTCTTCATTGATAGCAGCGCAGACGTGGGCAAGATTCTGTCGGTAACTGAGTGGGGCGGTCAGATGCGGATACCAATGAAGTGATCCTGTGTGTACGTACCGACTATGTGACTGTTCGGGTGTCTCAGGCTCTGCCCAGACATCGTGGTCAGGTGCGTTCGAACCGTGGTCATTTGAGTCCACTGGTTTGAACAGTGCATATGTATACTGGTGGCTCTTGGGTTTGCGACGGCCCCTCTAGCCACAGTAGCGTCTGCAGCCCTCCTTTCCAATATGTCCGACGAGACCAGTGGCTTTGGCTTGAGCTACCATGTCTGCAGTTACAAAGACGACATGTAATGGCGCTGTATACTCGCGCTTCTGAGCTGCATTCCAGATTCGTAGACCCTCGCGTTGCAAGGCCTTGATGTGATAAAGGCCGGGGAATACAAAGGAGTCGAGGCAGCCGGGTTTGTTCGGACCAGGGATGACAGCACCTGGAATGACGTACTGCTTCTTGTAGCGCAGATTGGGGGGAAGATCAAGCAAAACCCAGATATAGACATAGCAGTCTGACTTCTTAAGCTCCCAAAGCTGGAAGCCATCCCCCGACCACATGAGGCATATGTCGTCTGCGCCAAGCTCTGTGTTCAAGATGTCTGTTCCCGTCACGAAGTCTTCGACGGTATCAACAAAACCCTTCTCATTGAACTCGGGAAAGAGCTTTGCTGTAGCGCGTGCACGATAGGAAGCGGCATCTGCATGATCCGGGGTTGCAAATTGAGCCTGGAGTGCAAAGCCGGTGAGAACGGTGTCGAATGTTCGTCACGGTACGTCCTTCTTGGTGTTGGAGGGATCGAAGCGAGGCTGGCTGCGCTTAGGGCACGACCGGTTCTCGACCTTGGCAGGATCGAGACGTGGGCCTGTGAATGCAGTGCACGAGTTGACACACATGTCAAAGCGTACAGTTCGAACACCACTGAGATTTACTACTGCCTTCTTGACGAGGTGATACGAAAGGATCGGGATATCTGGGTACACGGCCCGAATGCCTGCGACAACCTCATTATAGGTTTTGATGGATGCATGGCGGCAAGCAATGAACAGATTAAGACCTAGACGTAGTGCAAGATCACTCAGATCAAGTACGGCATGCGAGGGATGTTGCAAATCGTGAAGATCTTCAGCACCAAGTGCACTATGCTTCTCGTTGTCCAGGCTGGCATCAGCGAGCAGGGCTGCGTATTCCTGAGTGAGCTTTATCTCCTTGATCTGCGATAGTGGTATCTGCGCGAGCTGAGGACCAGGAGGCGGAGCATCCCCTGTAGGTTCAGGGCTGGGAGCGCCTTCACGTTCAAGATCATGGTGCTGGTCCATATCTTCGTGATCAAGATCGTGGCGCTCGTCATACTGCGCTTCTTCGGCCATTCGAGCTTCTTCAGCCCGTTGCGTATACACTGCATCAAGACTCTCTATCTCTTGAGCAAGTCGACGGAGTGCGGCATCGTCAGCACTACCGGGATTGGCGTCGGCGGCCTGCTCGGCCAATCCAGTGAACCGTTCGAGAAGTCGATCCAGCTCATTGAGTGTAGCCTCGTTTCTATCAGGACGGTGCTGGCTCGTACGAGGCGAGAGTGGTGGAGAAGCAGTCTGAGAAGGAGAGCGCGGATTGGGATCGGGGAATGGGTGTATCTTCCAGTAGTGTCAGTACGTGAAGTACCACCATGACAAGCTTGGCATGAACATACCTCTGGAATGGGATCATCGACGTCCATCTCGTCTCCCATGTCGCTATCGAGTGCCTGCAATGACATTAATTGCAAGGATTGGGGAAAGTCTCAGACTGATAGATAACTTGCCTCTGTTCTATCATGCGGAGATCCCGCCAGTGTCCGAGTAGCAGATGCAGGAGAAACTGCCGGCAGCAGGTGTCATTCAATTGATATAGGTCTGGGCTACTCTGAGTACTCACCTGGTGTTGTGGCATCACTTTCTGAAGTAAGTGTGCAGCTTTGCGGCCTGTTCCGACCAGGAGATCGGGTGGTAGAGTAATGCCGATCCTGTATTCGCAATGGTTGTACCAAGTGGATCACTTAACAGGCTGCCGAACACCACCACACATGACTTTACAGTCACAGTAGTACTCTTTCTCGTCGTGGTCTGACATCTTAGAGATGCCACTGAGTATTGGCGGCGAGGGCAAACACGAGATCTGGAGGGGACAGAGGAGAATGGGACTCGAGCGCAGAACTGTGTGATCGGGTCGACTAGCTATCTTATCGCACAGACACGCACACGGCATGGCAGAAGTGAATATAATAGCATGGTTCCTAGCTACTAGCTATGTGCCATTTCGCAACCAAAGAAAACCATGGATGTTCGAGTTGAGTCGCGTCGAGCGCACTTGGCCCGTCCACGTGGGCACTTGTCTTTCGGCTTATCGTCATCCTCGGCGCTTTCTTGGTTGGCTTTGCCGTGTTCTTGGTTGGCTTTGCCGTGTTCTTGATTATCCTTGGTTCCGAAGTCTGCACGTTTTCACTGGGGCTCAAGAGATGAAGACAAAATAGTGCATTGATGGAGGCAACCCTAGGTGGTAGGTATAGAGTGAAAAACTGCAGAACAAGAGCCTGGGAGTGGGGGTTTATAAGGGAAATCAGAATGTAAACAAAGGTAAATAACGGAAAATGCCGGAAAATAATAGGGTCTGATGGGGTGAAACCATGACAGCTCACTTCTCGATTATGACCATCGACAACCCTATGAATCACTATTTCCCAAGGGATGAGCTTATGGTGGTCATCAATATGCCATAGATGGTTGCAACAGGGAACAGAATAGATGTGGCGTGTGATGGCTAGATTGCTTCGTAGAGTACCATATGGTTTAGCTACCTAGACCCGAGAGCCCTGGTCATTAAAGGCCTTGTTAGGCCCGAGATTCCCGGTCATTAACCGATAATTGTGGAGGGCTGCACAGAGGTATAATATATTCGATG